GAGACAAAAAGGAGACCAGCCATGGCTCAGGGTGAATGCATGGTCCCCACTTAGGGCCTGTCCTGCATGTCCCTAGAGGACACGATATGGCTAAGGGATTGAAGAAAGTGCTGCAGCCCCTACTGATCTCTCCTAATCCCCGTCTGCGGTTCCTAATGTGGATGCTTAGGAAGAGGGGAGGGAAACAGGAGGAGAGGTGCAGATGGAGAGCTCTGTCTGACTCCAAGGAAGGGGAATTCAAACTTTAGGTAATGAAAAARAACTCTGATGGGCCCAGGACAAGAGTACAAATGAAGCCCTTTTACCCCGTGTCTCCATAGGTGATTTATACACCCAGTGACACACTTGACATACATGCTTTCTTCCTTGACACACATAGCTTTATATCAACCTGGAAGGTTGTTGTATTCTCTSAGTTTGGCTCAGTCCCACATCTGGAGGCATCTCCCATGCACATGTAGACACCCCAGCCCATACATCCTGACCTGCACCACGTGCAACAGCCACTCCTTGTGCCTGAGAGTGCCTTGAACACCTGCACTTGGGGCAAGGCCTGCCTCGGCCCTTATTACCTGTTTGAGGCCATCTGGGCAAAGAATTCAGGTGTCCCAGGTACCTGGAGTAAGGTCCAGAAGGGGAAAAGGTCATGTGCTGCGGGCTGTCATGTCCCCTTTGTCCTACATATTCCCTTTCCCTCCCTAACCTCACCCCCCTTCCCTTCTCTGGGAGCTCTGTAAGCAGAAGGCGGGCCCCAGACACGCTCTCTGGAAAGATAACGATGATAAAGCAAGGCCAGACTTCTGCATTCCTAGCTCACCAACATTATTAGAAACTGCAGTCTGCTCAGTTTCTGTTTCAAAAAGTTGCTGTTTGGTAACGGCTCATTTCCCTTTTTGAGTCTCAGCAAAGACTCAGCAAAATGAAAAACAGTGAACATCACCTTAGCAGCTAATGAGCTCCAGAGAACAGGTAGGAGGTGTGACCCCAGCCCTGGCAGGAGGCTCGGCACTCCCCCCTGCCCCCACTCCCCAGCTCCATACATGCCTGCCAGGAGGTGAGACCACAGCTCCACCAGCTCCTCTCTGACTTGCCCCTGGAACTCCCCCTTCCTCCCCACTCCTCCTGAATATTTATGGAGAAGTCTCAGCTGAAGGAAGCAGATGGGAAAGGGGCAACCCAAGAGCAGAGTCTCTGGGCGCCGCCCTTGGGGGCTGGTGGAGGGGATGCGGCTGGCGCTCCCTATGCCCAGGCTGCCCTGAGTCTGTGATGGTGTTTAAGGAAGGATGAGGGAATGGCCACCGGCTTCACCCCCTTTGAAGACTCTGCGGCCCTGAGCCCTCAGCTGGAACAGGAGCAGATGAAGCCTCACAGTCTCCCCAAGCCAGGTGTGAGCTCCTGACACCCCTCCTCAGTGTCTCCTGGAAGTGGGATTCAGATGGGCAGATTCAGCACCACCTGGGAACTTATCAGAGATGCAAGGACTGGCCCCACCCCAGACCCCTGTGATCGCAGACTCCAGGGGGTGGGAGGTGGGGTGGATTCAGCCCTCTGCCATCTACCCAGTGTTCCTGGGGACCGTGATGCACACCAGCGCRGTGGTAATGGCAAGGAGTCCCAGAGGCGGGCAGACTGGATTTGACACTCAGCTCTGCCGCGTCCAGCTRTGGGCCTACGTCTCAGTTCTGGGGTCAGTGATACTTGCTGGAGTGTGATTGGATTAAGTAAGATTCTGCATTCAGACACTTGACTCAATAGGAGGCAGTTCCTCTGTTTCTCCACACATCAAATGAGTCAGCGGGACTCGAGGAAGGCCATGGGTCAGAYGCTCAAGGCCAGTGCACCAGGCCCTTAAGATGTGCGGCTTCTGACTCATACCCAAGACCATCTCCTGCATCCTGGGGTCCATAACTGGTTCTCCCTGCTTGCCCAGGACTGACCCTGGGTGGATCTGGTTTACTCTCCCGCTTCTCCAAAGCCTATCCTCAGGTCCGGCCCGTGGCACACGCACACCTGTAACCTAGCTACTGCTGAGCTTGAGGCAGGRAGATGGAAAGTTCAAGGCTCGTCTGGGCAACTGAGGGAGACCCTGTGTCAAAATAATAAAAAGGGCTGAGGATGTAGCTCTGTGGTAGAGGGCCCCTGGGCTCAGTCCCCTGTACTGCAATCGATCAATCAATCACGGACACCTTTCCTCCTCTGAAAGTGGGCGGGCTTCCTCTCTGCCATGCTCTCACCTGACGGTGGGGTCAGCAGGACCTGCCACATTTGTCTGGATGGGGTGCTCTATGTAGATTAACTCACTGGATCACAAGGACCCCGTGAGGACAGGCACTGTTTTCCCCCTTTACATACAAGGAAACTGGAGGTTAAGAGATTGCCTATCGGGAGGCTGAGGCAGGAGGATTGCGAGTTCAAAGCCAGCCTCAGCCACTTAGGCCCTAAGCAACTCAAGGAGACCCTGTCTCTTAAGTGAAAACGGGCTGGGGATGTGGCTCAGTGGTAAAGCACCCCTGGATGAAGTTCCTAGTACGAGACAGAGGCAGAGGCAAAGGACTCGCACCAAGTCACTGACTGATAGGAAAGTMTGGGTTCAAAATCACACACCTGGTTCTTGAGCACTGTCCGGGGCAGCCTCTACGCTGCACAGGGTCTGTAGCTTGGCACCGAGGGCTCCGATGCCTTCTTACAAGGTGGGTCCCTTTGACGATCTGATGAAAGCCAGGGCTTCTTCCTCTCCCAGGGGAAGAGCATACACTTCTGCTTGAGATCTCGGGGGTCCACGAATCCCGCATCCCACCCAGAGACTCCAGATGAACACCTGTGAATGCGGCTTAGAATATTCTGCCCTCGTTCCGCTTCCGGAAGTGGGCAGGGGCCCGCGCTGCAGGAGGGAGGCTGTCAGGGGTGAGGCATGCGAGACCCAGGCGGGGGACATGGGGCTCTTTCCAGAACAAGAGCAGCACAGAGGGTGCTGAGTGGCTGTGGGCCTGTGTCTTGGTCCAYAAGAGTCGGCTAAGGCGGGTGGACAGTGGCTCACAGAGTCCTGCCCAGGTGAGTCACAAAGGAGATGCTTCCACCACGCAGCTGCCCCGGCTTCTCTGCCCACGAGGTGGGCACTGATCTTGTCCCTCATCTTGGCGCTGCTTCATAGCAGCTGCCACCTTCTCCCCATTGGGCTCCATGCCAACAAGAATCCACGTCTCTCATGCTGCTCCCTCTGGTTGGCTCCAGGGTGGTCCCCATCCAGAGCCGAGAGAGGCTGTTTACACTGCCCACCTCTGAAGCACCTGAGGCAGAGAGGGGTCCTAGAGAGACGGGGTCCCTAGGGAGGCGACGTCCCAAGCCACCCACAGTGGTGGYGGCCTCCTATGGAGGCCGGGATGGTACTAGGATTTTTTTTTTTCTAGGTACCAAATTTAGAAAACCTTCCAAGGGGTCTGGCTTCCATTCCCTGGCCCTGGAGAGGGACTGTGAACCCGACTGAGAGGACGGGACTTAAGCCGCTGCCACCGGGTGGATTAGGAAGATGGCTTCCCAGCTTAATCAGGAGTCGGCAGGACACCACGGCCTGCGCTTCTCCAGAGAGGGCTCGCGCCCACGCGGGTGCCAGCTTCTCACCAGGTCCCCGTCTCCCTGATCCCCAACCCGTCTCCTTCCCCAAGAAACAGCCTTGTGGGCATCTGCAACGGACCGGAAAGGCCAGAGTGGCTCTTCACGGAATGTGTCGCGAAGGACGAGGACCACAGTCACCTCGCGTGGGGACAGCGGAGCAGGGCTGGTTGTCTTTTTCTAAAATTATGTTTTGGTGCCAGGTTTTGAACCCAGGGGCACTTAACCACTGAGCCACATCCTGAGCCCTTTTATTTTTTATTTAGAGACAGGGGCTTGCTAACTTGCTGGGGGCCGCGATTAGTTGCTGAGGCTAGCCTTGAACYTGCCATCCTCCCTCCTCAGCCTCCCGGGGGACTGGGATTACAGGCGTGCGCCACGGTGCCTGGCTTTGCTAGTCATTTCTGGAACAACCTCGATGTACACAAACACCCGCACCAAACCAGAACAAAGCAACACTGAAGTTCACCCACCAGAGTGCCAGGGCCCTGGTGACAGTCAAACCTATGAACGCAAAAGCCAAGTGCCAAAGGCCCAGTCACTGCAAGCCCCGAGGCCCGGGCTAGCATCTTCCAGCCCCGCCACCCTCTCCCCGCCTGCTCCCACCTCTGACTGGGTCCACAGGGGCGTGGRGGAGAGGGGAGGAAGGCAGGGAGCTTGTGGCTTCAGCTGCCTCCTGCCGGTGACAGGGGGCTGCRCGTCCCTCTTCACCCCAGATCGAGGTCACATCTCTAGGTCCTAGAAGGACTGGCTCCTGCCCGGCTGCTGTCATTAGTTCTTGGAGACCCCCCACGACCCTCGGGATTCCCTTGCCTGATCTTAAAATAAGCCCACGTCTCCCGGGGCGTGTGACACACCCCTGTGATCCCAGCAACTCAGTGGGCCACGGCCGGAGGGCCACCATGGACAGACCAGGACAGACCAGGCAACCTGATGGGACCCTGTCTCAAAAAAAGAAATAAATAAATAGGATTRGGGCTGGGGATGGTGGTGCACCCCGGTAATGCCAGAGGCTCAGGAGGCTGGGGAAGGCAGAGGCAGGAGGACKGCAGATTCCAAGCCAGCCCTGGCAACTCAGCAAGACCCGAAGAAACGCAGCGCGACCCTGTCTCAAAATGAGAGATGAGAAAACGGCTGAAGAAAAAGGYGGGGGGTGTGGCTCAGTGGTAAAGCATCCCTGGGTTCCATCCCCAGGACTAAAAACCACAGCCATGCCCCCAGGGATATGCAATATAACAAATCACCCAAACTTAGTGCTTCGCTTCCTGCCGAGACCCTGGCTAACAAGGACACCAATCAGGGTCACATTGAACACCCCAGTATTTATTGGGCCTTTGAACCAATGGCCCTGGCATGTTGTAAACATTAACATGGAAAGACCCTGTGCCCATCCAGGCTGTGGCCCCCCAGGCCAGTCCCCCCTGTTGGAGAACCCAGGCCGACCTGCTGGGTCCCGGGCACAGGGGCGCGCTGAGCCCAGTCCGGGGAAGGAGGGCTCGGCGGGGGTCTTCTGGGCTCTGGGTCTAGGTTCTGTTCTCTCCTGACAAAAGGCAGGGGCAGTGCAGGCTTGGGTCCTGTGCCTGCAGACAGCCACCCCGGAGTGCCTCTGCTGAGTAGGGAGGGCCGAGGATCCCGCCCATCTTGCTGTGGCCTGGTGACAGCTCACAGCTGACCGTGAGTGACCCATCAGCTAAGGCGGTGAGAGGCCCTCTTTACAAGTGTCCTCTTCCAACGTCTCAGAGTGTCCTGCTGCRGGGTCTGGAGCGTTTCTCCTTGCGTGGTCCGGGGGGCATGGACGGCTGGCCAGCATCCTGGGAGAGGCCGATGGCTCTGYTCTGCGCCAAGCCGGATGCCGGCCCCGTCCTCCGCGCCTTGGCAGCGCCGGCCCTCTCGCCCATCGCTGGGCCCCGAGCCTCAGGTAGCCCTGACGTCCTCGCGCCCGCCCTAGATGAGGTGCACCAGCAGGGCCGAGCAGGCGGAGCCCAGCACCAGGCCGATGGACATGTAGAAGGACATCACCACTCCTGTGGCCTCGGCCAGCTCCCGGGGCACGATCTTGGGCCCATAGATGAGGGCCAGGGTGCTGAGGTAGCCGTTGCTCAGCCCCAGCAGGCAGGTGAAGAGCACGGGGTAGACGTCGGACCGGAAGACCACAGTGGCCAGGCGGACGCGGGGCTGGTAGTTGCAGAACACGAAGAGGGGCACGAGGCAGGAGCGCAGCAGGACCAGGCCGGGCAGCACCTTGCTCTTGGGGCCTGGCACCTGGACCCAGGCAGTGATCTGCCGGCCACACAGGTCAGCAAAGTTGTACAGGAGGAAGGTGGTGAGGGGCACGAAGAACGTGGTGGTCCACGGGGAGCCGGAGTCCTTGTGGAGGGACTCAATGTTGGTGCAGACGGCGGGGAAGATGAGGCTGGTGATGAGGAACAGGTAGAGCACACAGAAGCCCAGGCCACCGGTCTTCTTCAGGATGGGGCGGAGGGGCGGCATGTGCGACCCACCGGATCCCGGGGCCACCAGGGGGGTGCTGTAGGTGTCCTGTGGTGCGGCCTCTTCACCAGAGAACACGCGGGCTGGACAAATGGGCCTCATATAGTACCTGCGGGGAGGAGGGCGGGTGTGCGGTCAGCGGGCCAATGTAGAGGCCACCTGGGCTTTCCAGGGAGAGACCCTGGAGTCTGCACAGTGTGTTCAGGACAGAACCCTTAGGCCCTGCAGCCTGGGGTCCCTCGATGACGCATGTGGTACAGGCGGTGGCTACAGGAGGCCCCCCATCCCAGGCTGCCCACCAGGCTGGCTCCAGGCCTCAGCCAGTAGTGGCTGCTGTGCTTAAGGGACAGAGGGAATCAGTGCTGACCACCACATGATGAGCACAGGCTCCTCCTGTCCTTGCTCGTCTGTTTTGTTTTGAATTTTGGAGAGGAGGAGAGGGAGATAGAGAAAAAAATAGCACACAGAAACCCGAAAATTTAAATTCTATGAGCAACAGAGGCTCATGCAACGCACCAAATAACACAGAAGAGCAAGACAGTCGAACCCTGCTGTCCTCCCACTGACCCCTCCCGAGTGCCACTGACCGACGGCAACCTCGTCAGTAACGTTCCATGCACTTGCAAAAACCACAACCCGCACCCGGCACACAGTTACTTAAAGTGGGCTCCAACTGTATGCAAGGCTTTTTGCAACAATATACAGCCTAGTACATCCACAGATACGCCGCACAGCGGCCAAAGTCACGCGGCCTGTTATTCCAAGTGCTTATGCATAACTGCCTAAGGGACACGATCTTGTGGCCAACCTTTCCCAGACCCCCCTGGTTCTCGGTCCCCTCTCTGGTGGGTGGCTGCATTGCTCAGCCTAGGCGTGTACGATGTCCTGCTCCCCTGGATGTTTAGGTTGGCCCCCGTTTTTCACTACAAGTCACACTGCCTCGAGCATCCCTATACTGAAGTCCTTGCACACGTAGCCTAGTACTTTGGCAGGATGGATGTCGAGAACAGGAGATCCCTGGATTGGGAGTTTGCCTCTGCCGGGTGCAGTGGCACACACCTGCCACCCCAGCATGGTGGAAGGCTGAGGCAGGAGGATCGCGAGTTCAGAGCCAACCGCAGCAACCTTGCAAGACTCTAAGCAACTCAGCGAGACCCTGTCTTTAAACAGAATATTAAAAATGGGCTGGGAGTCTGCTCAGTGGTCACATGTCCCTGGGTTCAATCCCTAGTACCAAAAAAAAAAAAAAAAAGTTTGAATCTGTGAAACTTCTCTTGATATCCATAAACTGCTCTCTAGATAAGAGTCCCAATTCATCTCTGCCCAATACTAATCATCCACCCTATGTCACCTGACCTGTTAATTTTTGTGAGTACCTATTTACTTTTTTCAAAAATGTGACCATGATCTATAATCATCCTGTTAGTGTGCTGCCATCATGCATCTCCTTCTACAGGGGACAGCTCCCTGGAGCCAGGACCACATGGGATTGTTTCTAGTCTACACAGAGTGGTAGAAAGAACTAGTAAGTACCCCACAGCAGTGTCTGCCCCACCTGATCTTCAGTGCTGAATACCGTCAATCTTTTCAACTTCTGCTTCGGTTAGTTTGCCTTGCTGTGTGACCTTGCCTGAGCCCTTAACTTCTCTGGCCTCAGGTATCTGAAAGCCAGGAAACAGGCTGACTCTATTAACACAGATCCAACATAAGGGCTTGGGGTACATGTGTGGGGGAAAACCACAGCGTGGTGACAACTGGGTTTTGGTTTCAGCCTTGCTTCCGTCCCCCTGTGTGACCCTGGGCCTTGGTTTCTTCCTCTGAGATGGAGGTTTGACAGAGCTCTGGGGGTTCAAAGTCTCTGCCAGTCTTCCCAACCTGGGAGCCTCCAGCTGCCCCGTGAGTGGGTGGGAGTGCTGCTCCCAGTCCTTCCCTGTGATGCTGAGCAGGGGCCTTGAACCATGTTTCCCAATCAGGGACAGGAAMAGTCCCACTTCCCTCTTGGCTCCGTGCTGGGTCCTGCCCTCCAGGCTGCTCTAAGAAGCTGCAGGCCAAGTCCCTGGGGTCGAGCTCCTCCCCACAGGCTCCCAACCCCTCCTCTGAGCGCAGCACGGGCTCCTTTCAGTCAGGTGCAGTCGGAGCAGCTAGGGGAGCCAGCCCTGTCTGGGAGCTCCGGCCTGGACAAGGCCGGCCGCTGGGCCTGAGTTCTCATCAACAAGGAAGCAGGAGTCTGTGCAGGCGGCCTGGCCCGGGGGCTCTGCCTCACACTCTCAGCTCCGAGGCCCTGCACCTGCCCAGATGCGACTGGCGCCCAGGCTGACCTACGAGGCTGCCTGGTTTGGTACTAAAGTCCCAGGTGAACCAGAGGTCGCTGCGCTTCGGTAACAGCCACCCAGAGCACTGGGGTCAGGGTGCGGACTCTCCTCCCAGGTTCATCCAGGGTCTCAAAAATGATCTCAAAAGCAGGACAAGGTGCCAGGCAGTGGAGGGGACCGGGACAGTGAGCCACAGCAGGGCAAGTGGGGCTCAGGGGTCTGCGCCCGGGACACTGCGGGACGCCACGGCTGAGTCCTCTCCTCCTGAAGCCTCGGAGGCCAGCTGAGGTGGTGAGCAACCCCGAAGGAGGAGGGCAGCCCACGGCCACAGACCAGGGCTGGATGGCTCCCTGCACTGCCCAAGGTCAGGGCCTGCGGTGGCTCGCCAGGTGGCCACCCAGCACAGCTCCCTGGGGCTCAGGTGTAAAGTGGCAAAATCAACGATGACCACAGAGTGTCACAAACAAAAATCATAATTGTAATAATAATAATAATAATAATAATAATAATAATAATAATAAGAAGAAGAAGAAGAAGAAGAAGAAGAAGAAGAATTGGTAATAAACAAAAAAATAGGCACCTAACCTGCTTAGCTCACAGGCCACCTCACAGAATAGGTTCCCGTGGAAGGGGGCAGCCCAGCCGGCTCCCTCTGTGGGGCCCAGGGAAACCTGGCCTCCTCTGGGTCTCAGCATTGTCACCTGTAAAGTAGGGAAAATTCCTGCCTCCCTATGTCAGATAAGAAAAGGGCTTACAAGATGCTTTGGAAAGGATAAAACTCGGGAGAAAGCCAGAGGCTGGTTTCTCCTTTGGTACCAGGGATTGGACTCAGGGGCCCTCGACCACTGAGCACATCCTCAGCCCTGATTTGTATTCTATTTAGAGACAGGGTCTCCCTCGGTTGCTTAGGGCCTCACTAAATTGCTGAGGCTGGCTTTGCACTTGAGATCCTCCTGCCTCAGCCTCCCGAGCCACTGGGATTACAGGCGTGTGCCATTGCTCCTGGCAAGATTGGTTTCTTAAAGAGCAGGTAGGAGGAAGAAAGGAAGAGGAGGAACTGGAGAAAGGAAAAAAGAGAGACCCTCATGGCACGAAAGGGGATCCTGAGGGCAGAAGACWCCCTTGGGGCAGTGAGTGGTGGGAAGTGCAGGCTGGGAGGGACCTGCAGGCCCTGCTCTGCCATGGCTGGCTATGGACCCAGGGGAGTACCCTGACTGCTCCCATCCCTGGGTCTCACCTGTACGTGGGAATGACCATAAAGAACAGCAACACTAAGAGGAACCGGGTGTGTCAGCAGTAAGCCAGGCGGGCACCCTGAGCTGGCCCAGAGGGTGCGGGGTGAACGGGAGCTGTGGCTTCTTACTGTCGCTCAGGCCCCACTTCTACCCCTCCTTCCCTGTCCCTGAACCTGCAGACACCCACTGCCTGGGGGTGTGGCTTGCAGCCAGCTCACACCAGTGACCAGGCCAACTGACTGACGGACTGCTGCAGGCCAGGTGCAGCAGGAGGCCCTGGGATACAGAGGACCCCGCTCACCCTGGGGCAGGTGCAAGTAATAAAGAAGGCCACCGACAAGCCTGCAACTCAGGAGGCTGAGGCAGGAGGATCACAGGTTCGAGGCCAGCCTCAGCTACTTAGTGAGGCCCTAAGCAACTGAGCAAGACCCTGTCCCAAAATAAAAAGGGCTGGGGGTGTGGCTCAGTGGTAAAGCACCCTGGGGTCCATCGAGGACCAAGCCCCCACGACCAAAAACCCCAGGGTATCAGATGACCCTGTTGGATGATGAGGAACACAGACACGGAGAGCTGAGGCTGTCCACTTAGGAAGACGAAGGGCGGACGACAGGGCCTCACCTGGAGTACTCCAGCCTGGGCAGCAGCAAGTAGAGCCCCAGGCACAGTCCCAGGAAGGCGGCCGCYGTCAGGAAGAAGGCCAGGGTGCTGTCCGTCACGTCTCTGGACGCCGCCAGGTCCACCAGCGAGGCCACGGCGCTAATGGTCCCTCCCATGGCTCCTCCTGCAAGGGGCAGAGGACCATGGAGTCACTTGAGGAGGACACAGGGGAGCACTCCAGGGCCCCTTTCCACTCAGACCAAAATTAAATTCCTCCAGGGTCAAAGAGGCCATCGTTCTCAGTGTCCCCAAGTGGTGGCAGACAGGAAGGGGTCCTGCCGAGTTTCAGAGGGGTGGCTCGTCCCCATCCCTGGTCCAGCTCCCTGCTCTGTGCTGGACTTGGCCTCCACGGAGGCCACCACCTGTCTCCTGCCCTGCTCCCCCTGGCCCTGGCCTCCTCCCGTGCCACCCTCCCAGGAGGACCTGACGGTTTAGATCCCAGGGACGGGAATCCCCGGGAGCTCGGGGTCTCCTTTCCTCTGTGCTTGGCCAGCGGGGAGAGGCTGGGGGACATTCCAGCAGTCCTCCCTGCCACGGAATCTCCCCTACCCAAAGGCAGCTGTGGGCCGCCCCATGTGAACGTGGGCCGGAGCACACGCATGCACACACCCATGTGCATAGCCTCACACACTCACCCACAAGCAGGCAGCCACCCCCACACAGAAGGACCTTGCCCAGCGCTTTGGCTCAGGTCACCTCATGCCCCTCACTGCTACCCAACGCTTCTCCTGTGCCCTGGACCCCGAGCACAGGGACCCTGAGCCCAGGGAACCCCAGCTCAGGGACCCCGAGCCCAGGGACCCCGAGCCCAGGGACCCCAAGCCCAGGGACCCCGAGCCCAGGGAACCCCGAGCNAGCAGGCAGCCACCCCCACACAGAAGGACCTTGCCCAGCGCTTTGGCTCAGGTCACCTCATGCCCCTCACTGCTACCCAACGCTTCTCCTGTGCCGGGTGGCGCGACCTAGCAGGGCGACCCTGGACCCCGAGCACAGGGACCCCGAGCCCAGGGAACCCCAGCTCAGGGACCCCGAGCCCAGGGACCCCGAGCCCAGGGACCCCAAGCCCAGGGACCCCGAGCCCAGGATGCACATCTGCCCTTGACTGGGCCTCGCTCGCCCTGATCCTGGAGGCCAGGAGGACTCTCAGGGCCACGGTCTGCTATCTGTAAGACGGAACCGCGATGCCCGTGGGCTGCTTTGACAGCTGCACGAGAGGGTCCCCAGAAAGTGCCCGGCACACGGCCAACTGTCACCAAGTGCCAGTTCCCTTCCCTGCCACGTCACTCATCACTCGGCTGTGTCTGGGAGGCCAGGGTGTGTCTTCCTTTCCTTCGGGAGCCTCAGCCATGGGAGTCAGTCTGTGCCAGCCGTGGGGGTCAGCTGCAGGAGTGTGACGGGCAAGTCACCCCTGCCTCGCTCTGCCCGAAAAGCGGGGGCCAGTGCTTGTCCTGTCCATCCCGAGACGGCAGAGGGGGGGAGGGGGATGACGGATGGAAGAGGGGACACTGCTATCCACACACTGATGCCTGTGAGTGTGTCCACCCCTGGGTGGACGGGATGTGTCTGCTGGCCTTAGGGCGTCGGGATTTTGAATCTCAGAGAGGCAAGGAGGCTGACAGTGAACGGTGGGGCAGGCTGGCCCATGTGGGCACCAGCTGCTCTGCCACCCCGGGCGGCTCTTACTGGGCACCTCTTTGGCCACTGCTGGGTGGGGCAGACTGGGAGCAGGACAGTAGAGGCCCCGCCACCCAATGCCCCATTGCTGCCTCACCCACACTCAGCCAGAGCCTCTACATGAGGAATGGCCTTGGCCTTGGCCCCAATGGACAATTCTTTTTTTATTTTTTTTTTTGTTACCAGGGATTGAACTCAGTGCTTAGCCACTGAGCCACATCCCCAGCCCTATTTATATTTTATTCAGAGACAGGGTCTCACTGAGTTGCTTAGGGCCTTACCAAGTTGCTGAGGCTGGTTTTGAACTTGCAGTCCTCCTGCCTCAGCCTCCCGAGCCTCTGGGATTCAGGCAGGCATCACCCGCACTTGGCTGACAATTCTTTCCCTCAACTTTCCCAGCATCCATTCCATTAGCCTAGGTGGGGCCTGGGGTTGGGGCTGGGGCTGCAGATACCCAAATCTGCAGAGTGACTAAGACCACAGACCTTGGAACCAGAGCCTCAAAGCCCAGTCCAGTCTCAGCTCTGCTACTTCTAGCTGTGTGACCTTTGCGAAGTCAGAGAACCTCTCGGTGCCTCCATTTTCCCCATTTTCTGATGGGGGCGTTAGTAAGACCCACCTCTCAGGACCATCCTGAAGAATGAAAGGATTATTACATGCAAAGTGCTCAGAATGGTGCCCGACTCAGACAGGGTCCAAATTCCAAGTAAATCCTCTCACGTTCCCAATTAGGTTGTGGTTATTTCCGTCCTTTCCACATCAAAGCATCGACAACAGGGTAAACCCTTTGCCAAGAGGGGGCCCACTCCTGAGAAGCTGTAATCCCCACCTGGACGTTTCCTAAGAACCGGGGTTGGATGCCGTAAGACGTTCCGCCKCTGCCCGGAGGAGAGATCTTAACGTCCTGCCTATTGATTCCCCTCTCCCTTACCAACTTGCGGAGAATTTGCAATTTTATCATCAACAACAAACCAGGCCTCCGGGAGCTCATCCTTCATGACTCCCTGCTTTTATCTCATCAGTTATGGAAATACATGCAAATGAGAGGTTTAAAAAAAACACCCTCCAAACAAAGGAATTGTTCCTCAGATGCCAACACGCCCAGAATTCACAGATGGGCCCAAACGAAAGGGGTGCTGGGGCTCTGGGAGCTGGAGCCACCTGGGATGTCCAGGATGCTGGACACCCCTGGTGGGGGCTGCACCCAGTCATGACCACAAAGTCTAAGCCCTAATGCTCCATCTTGAATCCACTCGTTCCTGGGTGGTCCTCTGGGGAAGGATTAATCGGGAAGGGCCACTGCTGACATCCATGGTGTCTGGTCACTGGCCCCTGGAGCGGAAGCCAGCAGGACTGAAGTCACACAGAAGAGCCCTCCTCCAGCTCGGTGGAGGGAGGTGAGGGGGTCAGAGCCTCTTTTTGAGGCCAAGGGTGTCAGGGGATTCATGTTTGGTGGCCCTTTCCCTCGGCCCAGACCTGCCCTTCTTGAAGCATGGCGAGGGCCTGTGGACTGGGCGTAGGAAACTCAGCCACGAGTCCATTTTTATTTTATTTTAGGCCCAAGGTTTTCCCAGAATAGAGCCAGAAGCCTAATCCCATATCAAAGATGGCAAACAGACCGGAACTCACATCTAGACTCTGATCCTGCCCGAGTAATTGCCTCAAGGGCCGTGTTGAGAAGGATTTAGAGGCTCAGGAGGAAAGATAGGGATCTACTAGTGATGTCTGGCCCTGGCACCGGGCCCGGGAGGGGGATCTGCTCATCAAGGTACTTGTCATCCCTGCCACGTAGCACCTGGCATCCTGACCCAATGGGCACGGCACACGGTCTACACAATTCTTCTCAAGTCGGCAAACATTGAAAGCCCTCCTCTGTGCATTAGAGACATGGGGACACAGAGAGGCCGAGCCTCGGGGCTTGCTCTAGGGGTGGTGATTTCCGGGGAAAACTCAGAGGCTGATTGACCCAGCTCTGTTTTACCTTGAGGGGTCACTGGGGACAGGGACAAAACAGCCGAGGTCCTGATAACAGGCTCAGCATCTGCATGGAAACTTCAGCTGGGGGCTGACCCCTGCCGGTCACGAGCCAGCCCAGGGACGGCCCAAGTCCAGGTGACCGAGGCGCCCATTCACTAGGCCATCGGCTCCGAGAGGCCGCATCTCGTTCACCTCTGAATCCCTGGCACCGGGCGGGTCCTCTATAAAATGGAAAGAAGAAAAGGCAGGTAGAAAGGAGGAAAGAGAAAAAAGGGTGGAGAGGAAAGGGCAGGAAGAGACACAGGAAGGAGGAGGGAAGGGAGAAAGAAAGGCTGGTTCAGAAATGGCGCTTGGAAGGCGACCTGGTTTTCATAAGTGACTGCGACTGCGGCTCCCTCCTGTTCCTTTTCTGGTGTGACGGCCACACTCTCCCACAGAGACCTGGGTGGCCTTGAGTCTAAGTGGCTGAACAGCTATGGTGGAAGTGATCCTGCAGGTCTCCGTCAAAAATAATGTGCTGCCTGAGCCTCTGGGGACACACAACCTGCTGCCTGGACACCATGCCACCAGGAAGCCCAAGCAGCCATGAGGAGGTCCAGGTGGAACCCAAGCCCCTGCTCTAGCCCAGCTCAGGGTAGCTGCCAGCTTCCGGTCTCCGGCCTCCAGTGGGCTCCCAGGGCCGGTCCCGGGCCACAGAGCGGAGCAGCTCTCACCTGATATCAGTGCCTGGGCGTTCCTCATGGGGAAGGCGCCGGTCAGGCCGTAGACGCTGCTGCTGAAGATGGTGGAGGAACCACTGACGATCACCATGCAGACAATGGTGACAGCGAAAAAGCCGTGGCGCCAGGAGGAGGTGTCCACCTTCACCAGCACGGTCATCACCACGAAGATGGCCAGCGTGACAGTCAGGGAGGCCAGGACACGGACACGGACGGGAATCCTGCGGTGAAGACAACAGGAGCCGTTAGATGTGGCCTCCGGCGTGGCTTGAGGGTGGTGCTGGGGAGGGGGGGAGCTGGGTGGCAACGTCTACTCTGCGTCCAGAAGCCTGGGTTTGAGCCCCGGCTTCAGCATCTGCACCTGGGGGAGGATGCACTCAGGGGTGTGGGGGCTCCAGGGAGACAAACGGTGTACAGCAGGGGCAGGGGCAGTGCGGGTGTCCTCTCCGTGGACACTCTGCTCTTCAGCTCACTGGCTGAAGGTCGGTGCCTGCTAAGCCCCCTGCTCTGCCTGTCCCCAAGCTGTGCTCCCGCTGGCTTTGCTGAGTACCCAGAGCAACCACCCTGTGCTTCCCGAAGGAACTCTCGGTGGGCGGTGGGCGGGAGGGGAAGAGAGCTTTGTCATCGCCAGCCATCACCACGGCACTCACAGTCCCTAACTTGGGCTGCCCACTCTTCTACATGCTAGGTCCCTTCTGACACCATGGCTAGAGAACCTGAGGTCAGAGAGCTTAAGGGACTTGTTCAAGGACACTCGGCTGGGCCCCAGGGGGTACCCAACGGCTTCCTGGGATGAAGGGACTCCGAGTGGCACAGCATGGGGGGCCAGGATGGTCTCAACTGTGAGGGCAGCAGCCAAGGCAGAGCTGGTGTGCCCAGGGCCAGGCCCCAGGTGCCCCTAATGCCACACCACGCCTAAGCCCTGGCCCCCTCCCAGCCTCCATGGACCCAGGAGGACAGCGGGGAAGGAGGCCCTGAGAGAAAGGCCCGGTTTCTCTTCCAGGAGGGACAGCACCATCTCAAGGGCCCTGAGGCCATCAGATCAGACCAAGCCCCACCCAGATCTAGTTCACTCTCCCATAACCGGGTGGGGCCGTGAGTGAGAGAGAGGCCAGAGTAGACAGGAAGACAAACGTGGAAGGTCGGAAAGGACACACAGACACGTGGGCACGAGGGGGAGCGAGAGGACGAGAGGAAAGGGCCCCAGTGAACCTGAGTCTCCTCCGGGTCCCGGGTGGGAGGGCAGGTGAGCCTGGGCACTGTGAGGGGGACAGGGAAGTCCGAGGAAGCGCAGGGACAGGCCTGGCTACAGAGGAGTCGTGGGTAGCTGGCCCTGAGCACCGCGTGCCAAGTGCTGTGCAGGCAGCGGGCAGGGGACAAGCAGCACAGGCCCTGTGTTCCCCCAGCAGAGGGCCATCGGAGCCGATGGGGCATCCGGGGGCCACACGACCCATCCTGCCCCAAGGAGAGAAGGGGCAGTGGCCCTGGGCTGGGCACACAGGTCTGGAAAGACTGTCCACCTGTGCGCATTCACAGAAGTGACAGCGGACTCCGGCYGCAGACAAGATGGAGAGGAGAGCAGGGGACAAGGCTGGAGAGAGACAGAGCCGGCCCTCGAGGGCCTCCTTATCCTGCCAGCCCAGGACCTGGTCCTCAGGGGGGATGGGGTCTCTGTTGGCCGGCCCTGTCACCTACACCACCCCAACCTCACACAACAGGCACAGACCCAGCCCAGGTGACGAGAGCGTCCAGAGCTCCTGGCCACTGGGAGTGGCTGGATTAGGGATAGCGTGTGACCGGCTCAGGGCCACCGCTCTCTCCCAGGACTGACCTGGGAGGTGGCAGGGAGCAGCTCCGTGCAGCGTCTATTTGGCTGCCAGGAGTCGCCCTGGCAGCTGTGTGGGGGGAGGGGAGGCTGCCAGAGATGAGCCGTGGGGACTGGCAGAGCCCAGGGTCAGGGCAGAGGGGACTCCCTAGGCCCGATCACGCCTGGGGCAGCTCTGACCTGAATTTAAAGAACGAGTTCAGCCCTTTGGAGTCTCTGACGTTTGTTTCAAGCGCACCCACCAACACAGAGGTCCGTCAGGGTTGCAAGCTGGAGAAGGACGGGCAGGAGCTCCCAGGGACACTGCTGTGCCCACCCACGAGCCTTCGCTTGTCACACTGGTGCAGGAGGCAGGCTGGAAGTGACCGGCGCTTAGCACTAAGAGCAGGCTTCAGCGATGACGCCTGGAGGGGCTGGCGGGGGACACCCCAGCTCCCACCTGGTGTGTTCTGCTGGCTCCGGGCAGCACTAAGCCCTGGCTCCCTGGTGGTGGCTGGGCTGGTGGGTGTCCCCTCCTTCCGCCTGACCCTCCCTTGTTTCAGGGTCTGCTTCTGGGAAACTTCACCAAGATGCCCACTGAGACTCCCACTAAGACACACCTTCCCCGGGTACACAGGAGCTTCAGCCAAGGCAAATCAGACACCCGGGAAGCTGGAGGTCAAGCCTTGGCCCTGATGCTCAGGGTCATCCTTCATGCTCCAGTCTCACCCAGGGGCCTCGCCTTCTGCCCCGAGCTGCCTCACCCACCCCAGAGACAAAGCCAGCAACACTCTGCCCAGCTCGCTGTGTGATCCCAGGTGAATATTCAACTTCTCTGAGCCTCTGTCTCCTCTCTAAAAAGAAAAGCCTAGAATAGCGAATAATCAGGTCTCTAATAATGGAGCATTCTAAACCAGGGGAAATACAAGTGAATGCAGAGGGTGGGGAAAAATACCAAAAGATTCCAACCAGTTCCTGGTAAAGGTCTGCTGGGAAGCACGTCTGACAACCCGGGAGGGCAGTGGTGCTGGGCCGCTCCTCGCGCTGGCCTCGTCCCCCCACACTACCTGCCTTCCACCCCTTGGGTGTGGCCGTGGCCGGCTGCCCACACCGGTCTCCCAGACACAATGATGGAAAAGCTGGCAGTAATGGGGGCTGAATCGCAGAGCCCCCAGGGCTTTACCACAGGGAAATTAGTGGCTTGAACAAGAAGGTGGCTTTGCAGAGATCAAGGGTACACAGTGGGGGACGAGGCCAATGCCAACCACAACACAAAAGCAGAGCAGTCCAGAGCCCAGACCCTCCCCCCAGGGTGTAGAGCCTCACCTGCACAGGTGCCTTCCCACCACCCCTCCCTCAGGCAGGGTGTAGAGCCTCACCTGCACAGGTGCCTTCCCACCACCCCTCCC